CTCTAACAAAACCAACGCCAAACTTTCGCGAAAGGCACTTTTAGCATGCAGTTGTTGTTTTGTATAAATTATGCCACAAGGGGCTTTGGATCAGCGCCCATATATGTGTATATGCGTCTGTCTGTCTGCATGTCATGTGTATGTATGTGTGTGTATAAATGTGTATGTATGTATGTATGTATGTATGCATGTCTGCATGTCTGCATGTATGTATGTAGGCATGTGTATGTATGTACGTATGTATGTATGTATGTACGTACGCTTGCATGCATGACTGTATCCATTTATGTTCGTTAGTCGTTTCTGTGGCTTTGCCGCGTTCGCAGGGTGATGCTGCCATGTGGGTGCGGAGCGTTGGCGGGGCTGGGGAAGGTTCCATCCCTTAAGTCTTCCTTCGCTCTTCGTGGCAGCTCTAGCAAAAAATCTACCATCGAAAAACTCAAAACGACAGCACAACTCCCGCAGCAAATGTCTTCGCCGCAGTCTCCAAAACTGAAACTCATGATTAAGGTCACCAGCACTGCGCGAGAATTACTGTTCGACGTACGGATCGCAGCTTGGCCAGGAAGCACTGCATGGCCGCAGGTCTCAATTCCGTCGCATCAAAAGCTCCCCACAGGCTCACTCTTTTTTGCCCCTTTCCCTCGTGGCAGAGCTTGAGCAGGAGATCTGCGCAGGGTCGGTCAATACCTGCGAGGCCTCTTTCTCAACGGGCTCAGGGCTCACCAGTGCTTGAACTCTGTGCATCATCGACCAGGCGCAGACTCTACTTGCAATCTTTGCAGGCGAAGAGCGTCAAGGACTTGGGGCTGCCGGGCGCCTTCCCTGTAAGTGCCTCAGCTGTGCCCTTCGGAGGCTTTGACATGAGCAACACGCCTTTGTGCGGCCGCTGCCTCAACAACTGTGATCTCGCTGCTCGAGTGCATTGCCCTTTTCTCGGCGCTCTTGCATCACATCAACATGACGGCCAAGTCTCCGTGCAGTATCGCTCATGGGCGTACCAGGCATTCTCGGGCATAGCTGTGGCAGCATGGATTTGGTGCGGCGTCCAGGAGCTTCCCACACCAGGCGTTCAAGCATCCATGCCAAAGAGTTGACCTGACATCTTCAACTTCGGAAACTTTGCTGCACCGACCCTGCCTACATAGCCGTGTTTGGGTCAGACAAGGTACTAGAAGGCTGTGCATGCTGAACAAAATCAGAGCTTTGTAGGCATGGCACCAGGCTCACCAGGTCATCGGCATCGAACTCTGCGGCATGGGAAGTCCTCCCACGGAGACCCAAAGCAATCCAAGTGCAGTGCCAAGCACAGAGCATCCCGGCAGAGCCTGACATACTGGAGGAGAGGGGGTCCGAGCTCCCGGAGCTTCAAGCCTCATCTGCACTCTCTAAGCGAGCTCAGAACCTCAGAACTCGTCGACCAGAGCAAGGCAATGCAGGGCAGCTAAGTCGCAAGATTGACTCGCGCCGGCCCACATCAGGCGGCTCAGCTCCCGCGCTGCAAACTTCTTCAGGTCTCGAGCAGCCGCGCCCAGCAGCACACGAAGAGCCGGTCGGCAGACATACGGCTTCAGCTCCTGAAAACCGAGCGGAAACATTTGAGAACGCATGCAAGACATAAAGCCGACGGGTGCCCAGCCAAGACCTGAAGGCAATTTCAACCCCAAGACCCTGATTTGCTTCAGTGTTGACTTGGGGCTCGACAATGAGGAACCCGGAGACACTGTGCGCTAGAGCAGCCCATAAGCCAAACAAAAAACAAAAAAGGGCTCGCACTACGATGTTTTATCTTGGCTCCCATCCTGGAGCCCTATGACTATGCTGCTCTTATCTCTGTCAGTCTGGAAGGCTAGGGCTGCCTTGGACCAGTGTTGCTGGCCCTACTGCCGCGTCCTGCGGCCAACCCATAAGGCGGCAGTGCCTTTGCCACCGGGCAAGAGACCACGCTGCGTTGATGATGTGGCGAGGTTCGAAGTCCTTGCATCACATAGAGGGTTGATGGCGCCTGTTATCCAAAGCAAAAACGTACTCATCCCGCCTGAGCCCCGCTGGTGCGGATCTCCCTAGCCGCATGCTGGAGCATGCGCTTCACAGCGCGAGTGGTGGGCCCTCTGCCGTGCACTCCCAGAGTATATGCGGCCCACATCGAGATGGACAGCTCCTGCTTAAGAAATGCCGACGACTGCACGGCGGTATTCTCTCACAACCCTTGCCCAGTTTCAGCTTTGTGCTGTGTCTTGCACCGCCTGAGGCCTGTCTACGGACGTTGCACATGCCTACATCCTGCCTGTCCTGGGGCCGAAACTGCTTCCAGTGAAGATCCGCCGCTCTGGCCGCCAGAATCTCCATCGGCACCGGCGCTTCACATCGTAGAACGGCATTGGCCCAAAGGAAGTTGGAGATATCCTGGGGCATCCACTTGCTAGCTTTGGACCTCTGTGTCTCACTGGCAGCAGCCCAGCAGAAGTCTTCGGAGCGGACCTTGGCCTTGGCAAGGGCCCAGGTCAGTACGACCATGTGCTTCGGCTCAAACTGCTGTAATTTCGTGCTGGCCTCCTCTGCCAATACTGTCAACAGCTCTTCTGCCTGCAGCTGCATGGTTGCGAAAGCCCAGGCGATGTTCGCCATATCTTGTCCATCCATGCGAGCCGCACAGGCTAAAGCTGCAATGTTCAGTGCCTGCAAGGCTGTGTCTGCACAGCCAGCACGCTCGAGCCGTAGTTTTGCCGCTGCCCAGCTTGCGACGGCAAGATCACGAGGCTGAGCATTGCCACCAACAGTCGACAAGACTAGCTCCGCACTTTCCTGGTGCAGCCGAGGCAACGCATCAGTCGACTGACTTGACTGTGCCAGTAGATGCAAAGCGGTGGAAGCATTCACGGCCCCGAGTTTGTCCTTCCAAGCATGCACCGTCCGAAGTATTCTTGATGTCGCCCCTGCATCCAGGACGGATGTTGGATTGTTGCCAAAAGCTGCTCCCAACAGGTCTGATTGAATCTGTAGTTCCAGCTTCGAGACTCCCTGGTTCAGAAGCCGATAGGTAGCACCTGCCTCACATGCGAGACTCAGGTGCTTTGAAATCCTGCTCATGCCACGACTGCCAGGAGCAAGACTTGCAAAGTCGGCACGGCAGACAGAATAGAAGCCATAGCTTGAGATGCTACGATGCTGTCAGTCGAGTCGAGTTCGCTGCCTTCCCAGCACGCTGTTGCAGCGCTGGCTTTATATCTTTGCAGTAATTATTTAAGACTCCAGCCAGACATGAGCTTATGTTGCCATGGCTTGGCTTGCAGAGATATGCTACGGCCAGCCGTGGGCAAACACCTGGAGTGTCACCGTGCAACACCCACACGCCGAAATGCACCATGTTTCTTCGGAATGGATGATGCGCCGCTGACATCGCAGCCATTGCCGCCACATCCACGTGCTTACTCGCCTGCATCTCTCGCCCAGATCGTCACCTGGTACTGGCCCAAGGGAAGACATCGAAATAACATCACTGCACGTGTTCGTCCGCCTTCGGGTAGCTGCACTAAGTACAGGCCGCACACAGCTCCAGCAAAAGGAGCTTTCCAGCTGACCAGCTCAATTCCCGAAACCTGGCATGCTCTGATCATCTTAATCACATCCAAGCATTGGTACTGGTATCGCTGCCGTGCCATCGCAACTACAACTGCACCTCCACTCGAGGAGCGCCTGGAATGAGCAAGAGAGAGCCACCTTATCGACCACACAACAGCCGCATGCATGCACTTCACGCAAATACCTGCACCAAGACAAACACGCAAAGAAAGAAACAAAGAAACAAAGAAATAAAGAAAAAGCGAAAGAAAGAAAGAGAGACGAACAGAGAGAGAGAGAGAGAGAGAGAGAGAGAGAGAGAGAGAGAGAGAGAGAGAAAGAGAGAGAGAAAGAAAGAGCGAGATCGAGAGCGAGAACGAGAACGAGACCGCGCGAGAGGGCCAGGGCGAGGGCGAGGAGGGCGCGGAGAGCACCCTGCGCGAGAGCGAGAGCGAGGTGAGCGAACAAGCGACCGAGGTGGGTGGCTGGGCGGCTGGGTGGGAGGGCCTCGATCCCCTCCCTTGCGGGGGCATGGCTGGTCCTCGCTCTACTCACTCTTCCTCACGTCATCACACATGCGGGCGGGCACGGAAACGTACATGGACAGGCCGGTATAATGACACATGAATGGATAGATATTCCATAAGCAGTTCCTCAGAAGCACTTAGGTCCACACGCCATCATGCCCGCGCCCCACCAAAGTGCTACGCGTGCAGACGAAGAGCAAGCCCCGCCCATGATCGCAGCGCAGCTCATGGATCCAGTTCCACCCGAACGATTGGAAGCCTCACCTTGGCAGCAAGTTCGCTCCACCATGTCGAGAAGTCGGTCGCAACGTTTCTCGGGACTCGGCGAGCAGCTCTGCATAGCACGTTGCCAATGGTATCCTGACCAATGCTGAAGAGGTCAACTCCTAGGCAAGTCTCGGCTCAGGCCTCTTCCTCCTCCTCCTCCTCAGCGATTGGCCTGGGCCTTCGGATAGGTGAGGTGTAAGGCTGGCAACTGGTTCTGGTGGCAGCTGCCGCCTTCGGTTGCCTGCTGCTTTGACAGAGGCCTGCAGTCGCCAACCCGCCTCGACACCGACATCTTGCAACATCCCAGACCCCACGTGGGTCTGAAAAGCTAGGCAGCTAGTGACTCCGCATAAAAAAACAGATTGCAGAGCAGCTGGTCGCGACAACTGAGGACGCTGCCGGAGCCAGTGTCGCGACTACACCAACGATTAGAAGCTGAATTGCCAAAGACTTTGGCAGCCTACCCTTCTCCATGGCACCACTGCCCGAAGTACACTAGTACGGGCCTGTCTATAATGCTACCGGACTACACGAGCGTAACGTGATTCCCTGTACCTGCTGCATGCCGCGAAGATTTATCATTTGCACTTTGGTGGCTAAACAGCGTGTGATAAATCTGGATGCTACCAGTAGCGCTCTGTCTAGTCTTGTCGAAAGTGTCCCTGCGTCAGACTGCAGAGGCGTTCACGAAAGATGTGGTAAGGAGCAAGCCATGTAAGGAACGAGCTTACGCGAACAAAGCCTATCGAATCCTGCCGCTTTTGTGGCCTGAGTCTTGCTGCCTCTCAGGAAAGCCCCGGGCGGTGGGGACCCCATGATCCAAAGAGTTCCGAGCTTTCACCAGGACTCTTCCCGGCAGCTCCGCACAAGCTGCCATCTGCGAGCGGTATGACCTGCTCGTGCTGGCCATGGCAAGCTTGCCCTCAGGACCAGGTCAGGATGCGCCGAAACCTGCAGATCCGACAAATCTCGCCAAGAACACAATACGACGTCAATACGACTGCCTGTAACAGGTCCAGCCCAACATCTGCAAGTGTTCCTTTTCCAGAAGGCTTGCATAATTCTGACTCCACCGACCTACCGAATGGTCAGCGCACTGTCTTGCACCTCAGCACGACAACATAGACCGTGCCGTGCAGTGTTGCATGATTTCAGGAAAAGTCGGAGGCAGGTATTGAATCACAACATCCAGAAAGTCAGGCTCTATGCAACAGGGCAGCGACAAAGGTTGCATAGTTGTGGCTTGAATGCAGAGCACCAGTGAGAGTTGCCCAGGCATGTGTGCCCTCATCACGAAAGTGAGCCATCACGGAAATCCCAAAGTGTCGCTTGTGCGACACTCTAAGGAAGAAATCTTGGCCATCACGGCCCTCAAACCAGTAAAACTATTTCGGCCACGAGCTCTCTAGCTCATGTGTCATGCCAGTCCATCGAGAATGAACCGCGATGATTAGTGCTGCATTCATTGGATACCGGCCCATGGGAGTTGCATCTTTAAGGTCCAGCTGCCCTGCATTAACGAAGTGAAAGGGGTGGCGTCCAAACTGTTTTTTGGCATTCTTGCCATGTCTCACGGCCGAATGTTGTAGGCTGCACATCACGGTCCCTCCTCAATCGCATCCAAGCCTCAGCACGCAAACTTGGGCTCGCATCCTAGTCCATATCACTGGACGTCTCCAACCTGCAGACGAACTGGTGCCAAGGAGCTGGGTTCAAGCGGCGGCTGGCGCCGTAGATGCCCGTATCGTTTAGACTTGCGCGACTTGTTGTTCAGGCTTCGGTACTGTGAGAAAGCCTGGTGGCACAGGGACAACAAACAAACACAACGCACATATTGCAGCCAGCCTTGCACTCGACCTCCTGAGATGGCCAATTTCGGAACGTGGCAACGTGCGGTCCGTGTGGTCGCTTCTCTCAACTTCTCTCAGTCACACACGGCGAAGCTGAACAGCGCCGTGCCGCCGCGCTATGCAACCCTTCAGGCCACACTAAGATGCCGTGCCAAGCGTCCACCAAGAGAGCATCCATCTGCTAGCTCACACAGAAACTGTGCATCAAACGCAGAGAACCAGAAAAGCTCTGCTTGCACTGCCTCCTCGTTCACGTCGCCGTCGATGAAGGGGTTGTCATACACCTTTCGTTTCGGGCCACTGGTGACTGCGACACGAGAAGCATCAGGACGAAGCGATCCGACACCCGCGTTGAGGTGTCGGCTGAAACGTGAAGCTTAACTCCGTGCACTTATGTAAATGGCCCGGTGTTGCCTGCACTTGTGCTTCATCTTCACTTTGATCCAACGGGCTGGCATTCCCACCCAAGCTGTCTGCGGACTGAGATCCTGCCTTAGGACAAGTCAGCCGTACAGTACTGTATCTGGATGTTGATAGTCAGCCTGTGTCATCGATACTGTGGTTTCCGATGGACGGTCATCACAGTTGCTGCCAAGTATCCTGTTCTGAGCCACTTGTTACGGTCCGTGGGGCCACCGGCCGGCTGCTGCTGGACATTTCGGGATCACCTTCGCTACAAGCGCAGCTAAGCCACTCAGAGATGGTAGTAAGATCGGGCTAAGTCCAGGCCAGGCGACAGACCGGATCCTCTTCTTCTCCCTCCTCGTCATCACTGTCTCCATCGCCCTGGATGCCTGAGGCTATGTTGTGCCGGCCTAGAGCATAGGGCCACGAGGACTGTTCCCAGAACTCCTGTCTAATCTCCTCTAACGAGGGCCGGTCTACGTGGAAGGCCTGGTCGTAAACTTCTGTCGAGGTGCGTACGACATTGACACTGCCGGAAACCAAGGTCATGTCTGGCTGACCAGGATAATAGAATTCCAGAGGCCCCTCAAAGGATCGCACCTTGATCCATGCTCGGCAAGACAGAATTGCACCTCTATGCGTAAACCTTCACAGGCCACGGCGCTTCTTCAACAGCCACGCCAGCACAGCAACGCTGTGTTTCCATTTGCACCCAGTTCCTGAAATCGTCCCAGCACTTGCTGCGAATCCAGTGCCTCAATTTGTCTTAGCGGGCAAGGATCAGCAGGATGCAGGTCACGTAAGTCTTTGAGCTGCGCGCTTCATTTCGGGGACCCTCGCCGGTTCGTCCTTTCCGCGCAAGGTATCGAAGCGCAGTATAGCCTCAACAATGTCCAGACCTCGAAGCGCCAGAGTAATGCAGGTTTCCGGAAGAAGAACACATGCCAGTGCCGTGATGTGCCGTGCATGCCGTGCCTTCGGAGTAGCCATTGAAGATGAAGGAAATGGAGCCGACCTCTGGGAGGCCCGCGACCGAGGAGCGCAGCGACGAAGCGGAACCTCACAGAGAAAAGCCCGAAAAGCCCGAGGTGTGTGCTGACATCTTACCACTCCAAAGACCAGAAGCTCGCAGATTTCGACCCGTGGGAGTCTCTCGAACCTCTGGATCCAGTGCTTGGAGGCCGCTTCTGTCGAGACTCAAAGCCTTGGAGAGGCATGCCCCCCAACAGTGCCGACGCGGCCCACGGCTGAGCAAGGCTGAGCACGGCTGAACACAAACAGCCTCTCTTTGGCTGAACGTCAGAGACAAGCCGCTTTGTTGCTGCGCAGCCTGAGCTGCCGAAGTCGCATCTGCATTGAACTCTCACGGGTTGTGACAGCAACATCGCATGAAGTGCATCGCTGCTGCGGACTTGAAAACATGCGGACAGGCCTCCAGCTCTACTCGAAGCACCTACTGCCGCACCTACACAACCACCCACTTACTTAGTTCTCGCTCGATGAAACCTCCTGCACCCACCAGCGCTGACCAAGCAATAAAGCTCAGCCGGGCAGCTAGGTTTTGAGTCGACAGATACCTTGGCTCCCCAACGCATCACTCCTGTCAGCTGCTGTCATCGGCCGATGGTCGGCGACGAGTCTTTGCAATCAAGCATCATCAGCTCCGCATCAGTACTGTTATCCATTGGCACATCCAGAGCCGGTACTTCGCGGAAGTCGTGCCGAGACATGCTGAAAGACTCCTGAAGCTTGAGATAGCTAGAGGGCCCGGATGGCAACGTCAGGAGCTTTCCAACACCACGTGTCCGTTCTCTCTTGTTAACATGTTGCCCCTGCTTCAGTAGCTTGACCGCGACAAGTTTACAATAATTGCGTCCGCCCATCAACCCTTCTTTTGAGCAGGGGCTGCAGCGCACTTTGCCCTGATCCTTCAGCTACCGTCAACCCTCCATCTCGGAATCAACTAACAGGCGAGAAAGTGTTGAGTCGAGCTGAGTGGCCTGGATACCGACGAGATGTCGTGGCTGTGGTTGCGAGCGCAGTGCAAAGTCTGCCGCGGGCACGCTCGCGTGGAAGATCTGCACCACCCGACCAGACTTTCCTTATTTTGCAAGATCTTGCAGACATTGCTACTAGTCATGTGACATGAGTGCGACCACCATCTGCGTTCTTCGACCCGGCGCTGCCAAGCCGGTTCTACGACTCGACTCGAGCACAGTGTCTGCAGACAGGAAGCCCAGCTGGATCGACAAGGAAGAGGCCGGACTTCCTTTTGGATCGCAAGGGAACGAAATGCTCGAATCCTGCTGTGCAAAGGAACAACCTGTGCAGAGGGCTGCGCTGCCTCCACCTTGAAGTGAAATGGAGCTCTCGCTGAGAACGTCGGCGCCATCGTTGACAGTGTTGATGGTAGCTCGACTAAGGTGCGGCGCAAGAGTCGCAAAAGCCTACCGCGGCCTGGAAAAGGACTCCTACACTTTCACCACCCAAACGATCATCAGCATCAGTGTCGTGAGAAGCAGTGCCCAGGATCGCAGCAAAGAAGTGCAGGGGCTAGATAGCTGAGAAAGAGTGTGGGGGGGGGGGGGCAGGTACTATGCCGCATCGTATCAGCATCACCAACATGAGGCTGCAGTCACTCTGCTGTTGCAGGTGGAACTCACTTATGCACCGTGTCACGTGTCTATTGCACCGGGAAGCTTGAGGAACTCTTTGAGCTTGGATTGATCCGCCTCTGCCACGAACTGGTAAAGCTTAAGTCCTGTCAAGCAGAGAGATCGTCACAGCCAATGGCCAGTCGAGAGCAGCACAAGCACTCGTCAGCGCTTCGATGCACAAGACAATCGAATTGCACGGAGTTGCTCCTCCTACAGATGTTTCGTTCGAATCCAGCTCTGGTCCGAAGAAATGCTCAGCCTTGTTGCTGGGCTGGCCTAGATGGCGGGCGGATGCAATGTGGCATAGTGGAGAAGGCGCATTCTAGCCCACAAATGAAGGTACCTTCTCTGCAATCGCGGGACAAACACACAAGCTTGAGTCCAGCATGACGTCGGCATCCACCAGAACTGAAAGTAAATTTTTCCGGGCCTCCCAGAACACTGCAAGACCGTTCCGTGATATGCGCGTCGCCGCGTCGTAGGCAGTATGTCAGTGCGATTGTGCAATCGACACGTATCTGCCAGGGGCCTGTGATTTGCCAGCCACTTCCACGCTTTCAATACGAAGTGAAGCACTTTCTTCTACCAGCTTCTGTACCTGAGCTGGGAGCAAAATACAGGCAGCAAAAATACAGGCAACAAGGTCGCATTTGCTCATGTATCTGAGGTGCCAGGATGAGCACAAACATCACCTGCACGATGCACAGCGCCTCCGAACAAGCCGCGGCAAAGATGCTGCACCCAGAGCTGTTGGTTGAAATCGCCTTCCAGGCAGACAGCCTACATGCTTGCCTTCACACAGGTAGGACTGCAAGCTGTTCGAGCAAACTAAAGCATTCAGGGACGAATGAGATTGCCCAAAGTATCCTTCAAGAAGATATTATCCAGCTAATCACTGGAAACCGATGAAAATCAACACATTAAAAAGAATAGAATATACGTGAGTTTGCATGTGGCGAAATATTGGAAAAGCTTCATATGGTCTTCTTTTACATGCTTTTCATAGTCATTGTATTATTCAAGCTTTGCGTATTCCAGAAGGACGGACCAATTCCCTCCCCACCCCCCACCCTCCCGCCTCCGTCCCTCCCCTCCACCTAAAAGCGTGGAACATATGGAAGCTGTAAATAATACCCAGATTTCAATCTGCATGAATTCTGTCGAGGGGTCTGGAAAATTGCCTTCGAGTCATAGTCTCTTCATGTGTTAAACTCTCTGAATATCCTTTATCTTTATCCGGAGCACAAGCATTGGTCTTAACCTTAGCCACTGCAGCCCGACATCTACGAAGGTAAATATATCGAGGCTAAACGGACGAAGACTTAGCCAGCCCGAAGCTGGCGGGAGAAGTCGCTTTGGGAGCGAGTTCTTCCACTGGACACGGTCAGGTTTGATTTTAGGGGCAGCAGATGTGGTAGGCGTGAACTGTGGCCTTGCTCACGACATAGGCAACGCTCATGGCCTCGGTCGCAGGGTCTGTTGAGGCATGATGGTACAGTGATTTGAGCTCGGAAAGCCTTGAGCTCTCGGCCAAGTTTGCAGATAAGGCTTTTCTGGCATTTAGAAATAGAATGCCACAGAGTGCCCGCAGCAGTGCACGAGCACCTCCAACAAAGACATCGGCGTCCTTAGGGCGCTCATGCCAGGCTGTTCCCCCTCAACCAGGTCCAGCTATGACACATGTTCTGAGCTGGGGGGAAAGTTCTTTGGCGTCTTGGAACAATCGCTTCCACGCCCCAGGCAGTTTGAATTCCCTTCCCCCTCGAACTGCGTTATCACAATTGGCAGGCCTCACGCCCCCTGTCAGAACAGCACGGGTCCGGGTAACGCTGTTTCAGACAATTACACATCAATGGCGACAAGATGCATCAGCATGTGCCAAACGACAGGATATGTCGCAGACCCCGCAGTCTCAAATGCTTTTCATTGAGATCTAGAGTAGATTTCAGCACCAACTCTGTATGCGAAACCCCAGTGTGGACGCTGTTTGTAGTCTTCAAGTCGCTTCGGCTCAATTGTCAGGAAATGTCACTCCAAGAAACGAAGTCCGCCATAGAACAGCAGTGTGGACACCGATCGATGCCAGTCTGCTACGGCTACGACGTAAGATATGGCTGAAAACGGCCTTCCCTACGGTAACCGATGTGTAAAGAACGGCGAGATAAAGCGACCACGAGTATGGATTTCTGCAGAGAACGATGGGTTGGCATTGTCTTCTGCAAGTAGCTACGAGACGGACCTTCGTATGTGCTGCGGATTGGATACAACCATAGCTGAAGAGCCGAGAGTCTGAAGCCGGACACACTGCCAATGCCAGAAGCAAGAAATGCCCCAAAGCTGCCACTGCGTCGCAGCACCCTGGCCTTTGCAATCAAGAATATCATAGAACGAAAGGTGGAGGCACTCAAAGCCTGTAACTGTGATCTGCAGATGTTCAACTCAGAACCGCGACGTGAGTGAGACAACTTCGGATGCCACTGCCAGGCATCCGGTGTACATGAGAATCCTCAGCTTGCGCAATCGGCTAGCAATAGTACGGAATTCGCGGACGCGAGCAATTCGGAGTGTAACCAGCAGCTGGGTGGCAGCATCAACAGCTGAACCTCGCCTGTTCCGCAGATGTTGACCGACAACATTGAAACCAAAATCGCACAAGCCAGGGTTGACCTTGGCTGGCCGAAAAAGCGAGAGCGGCAACAGCTGCAAGAGCTTGCTTGACTTGGACCTGTGTAACACATTTAACGCAAAAATGCCTGGGGAGTGCAGCTAGACAACACTGGTGACGCCTAGCGCAGAACGACATATATCCTACCGGTCGTGTCTTGAATTCACCTAGCCTACTTCCACGTTCAGCTGCACCAAGCTCCTGCACCGCACCCAGCTCCGAAGCAGGCACTTGTCACCCTGTGACACAGACAAGAGGAGCAGTCGGGCCACCACTCCGCACGCAAGCGCACCCTGGTCAACTTGGTCTGCTACAAGCACTGGCAACGGCGCGGGCTGAAGGGGCAAGCCCCTCCGGGCCTCTTCCGGCTCCGTTTTGGAATTGCTGTACCACGAAGCATTCTCTCTATTGTGCCTCTGCGTCACTTTTTTGCTAGTCTCAAAGCTCCGTAGGCTCCAAGGTGATGCAAAACAAGTGCGCAGGGCTGCCGTCCATGTCTCCAGCGAAGGTTCATCGACTCGTGGCTTCAAGAAGCGACGTTTTCCGACTGGCTCGAAGAGCGCAGAACAAGGAGTTCTACGACTCTCTGAGATCCTGTCCCTGACCTCTCGCCTTTGTGATCTCTCGTTGCAACTAGGCGTCGAGGCGTCAAGCCAGAGGGTAGCACAATGGACCCAGCAACAGTACTCACAGTGTGAACCAGACATGGGCGCATGAACGCGTTGCAAACCGCTGAAGCACTCGCCTCCCTGAGGGGCGCGCTGGATGCAAATTCTGCTCACAATGTTGAAAAGCCTGATGCGGGCCTGCAGGACACGCGTCCCAGCAAGAGGTGCATCTTTGGCCTGCTGCCGTCGCACCGCATCCGCAGACTGCGAGAGCCTTCTGAGCGTAGAGGCGCGCCGATTTGGTGGCGACATCTCCTGCAAAGCATGTCGTGGAGGCCTTCACGGCTTCACCAGTTTGCAGGAGGATTACATGAGACTTACATGAGAGGATCTGCAGTCTGAGGGGCGCGGTTGTGTCAGAAAGCTGAAGGCATCCGAATAGTCCGAGCCCCGCTTGCGTAAGATCCACCAAAAGTGTGTGGAGAGGACGATGCTGGCGGCAGTGCTGGCCACGGCCAAGGAAGATACCTCCAGCAAGCATCAAACTACAAGGCTGGCCATGCACTGCCTGTTTTGCCCGAGATGCCATGTTCTGGTAGAGCTGGCTGCCAGTTCCAGCCGCGTAGGGTGGATGTAGAAACAGACTGGACGTCTTGACTGCGGAGGGCTTATTTGCTTCTAGTCACTTTCTGTTCACTTTCTGTGCGGGTGAAACAGGTTCGGCCGCTTGAGCCAACATCAAACCACGTGCATGCATGCTATGGCTGTCAAAAACCGCTGAATCGTGATGCAGCAGGTGCATGAAGTTCCCACATAGAAGAAGCCATTCTCCAGCAACGATTCTGTGCACGGGAGAAAGTAGAAGCAGTATGAACCAATGCTACTTTCAGACAGCACGACTGTCAACAACGGAAAGCTGAAAAGAAGCGCGCCTCCAATGCGGCAGATTTGCACTCTTCGCATGGGCCTCAACAGGCCGTGGCGTCAAGTCCAAATGCCCGACGAACAGAGAAGTAAGAGCGTGTTCGCATCCTTAGGTGCTTCTGTTCCTGACGCTGCCATCGTTTCCGGGGTCGCACCGGGAGCTTTCAGAGAGGGTGACCCTCGTTCGAGGGCTTCACAGCGGACTCTCCGCAGCCCGAGCGGAAGAGTAAACAACAAGTGCCGGCAGCCCTCAGGTAGCTTCCCAGCCGAGCTAAATTTCCGAAGCACTGCTTCCACAACACTTGATGAATGAAAGGGCTCCCCTCGCAGTAAACTTTGATTGGCACTCAGCAGTGTGTGTTGCGGAATCTGGGCTTGTTCCTGTGCAACTCACAAGAACCTGTGGTAGCTGGCGCTTGATGTTGCCGCATGCAGACATCGCCGCACCCTGTAAAGGCTGGCAAAGACGACCCTTGAGGAATCCATGCCAAGCCCCAAGCATTAACCTATATACAGTCTCATCTCTCACTCCTTGTCCATTTCTTTGTCCTCTCCCTTCCCAGTGTCTGAAAGCCATTCGAGCATCTGACTCGGAACGAAATCACCTGCAATGCTTTAACGCTTCACAAAAGGGCATCAACGCTCAAACACACAGCCAAAACCAGCTCGGATCAGTGGCCGGTGATCTTCTCTTTCTCCTCCTCACACACTAAGAAGCACCTGGCGAGGGCGGCTTGGGCCGCTAGGGCAACAGCTTCGGCAAGTCTGAGAAGGCGGTGGCTCAAAAAAACCGCATCTCTGCCGAGCAACTGTAGCATCGCGTCCACCGCAAGCTCGAAGACATTCATGAACAGCCGGGCGACAACGTAACCGCAAGCCACATACATGGCCTAGGGCAGGGTCGGCTGCGGCTTATGGAGCTCGGCTTCACAACATGGAGCTACCAATACTAGTACCACCAGCATCCGCACGTAATTAACCTAGGCAATAAGGCATTCAGTAGGCAAGTTGCAACGGGCATCACCGGAGAGGTGTTTGGATGCATGGCTGTCAGCTGCAAATTTCCCACCGCAACCTCGAAGTGATCAAGTTACGTTGAAATCGTGCGTCTGCCTATGGTTTGCAGTGTCGGTCTGGGCACTGTGGAGGCAATAATGAAGATATACCTCGGTAAGACTGCAACCGCTTTGCTTGCTGTGTTGCTCAGCACAGGGCCTGGCATGTGTACTGTGCAGGCGCGCGGCCCAATGACGTTTATCACCATGCCCAGAAGGGCAACAGCTCCAAATCGCAAGGCATTGTTCAAGATCAGGAAGAAAGCCTGTTCCGGGGCGAATAGCATGTCAACGTAAACACACAGAGCTGAGCCGTGTTTCCCACCTTCTTCGCAGACGTGCAAAAGTTGCTACCGACAATCGCCATCTGAATGTATGCGTTTCTTAGTTTGCAAGCGACTGACATGCAGAATGCTCAGCCTGACCGGCGCACATTAGAACTACATGAGGGGGCTGACAATGATAAGCGCCGGTGGCTTCCAGACTCCCTGACATGCTCAGGTTCTTTCCTGTGGAAAGAGTCTTGAACCAACAGTTGCCGCCAAGACTCGGTTCGCGCTAATCTGCTTGCTTAACATGGGCAGCCAAAGGCACGGGCAACAGAAAGCAGAACCCCGAAGAAGGCAAAGCAAATCGCTGACAAGCCTCTTATTCAAGAACTTGAGGAACTTTTCCAGACACCACATACAGCAGCGCAGGACTCGCAAAAGCAGGGCCATCACCTCAGGCAGTGGCGGGCGTGCGACAGATGCCACCGAGCGGTAACGAACGGACATGAGATGAAGCCAACACACTACCTGCTTCCCGTCAGCTTCCATGCATGTAGACCCCGGTGGCATGATCGAGGACCTTCCTAACAAACAGCACCTGGCGCACAAGTGGAAAGGCACATAGAACAATCATGAGCAACTACAGTGGACGTCCTATCACCTCAAGATGTTAAATGGCAAGCCTTGCACGTCGTTCGTGCTTTGGCTAACCAAGTCAAGGCTCCCGATTCTTTTGCGCCTGCGCTTGCTTCTCAAGATACAGCCTCGAGGCCGAGTGTCGACACCAGCTACTGTAACGGAGGTCTGCTAGTCTGCTTGGTTTCTGGACAAAGAGCAGAATGTACCGAACAAACTGCACCACGGCGATGATGAAGGAGCCGAAAGCCAATGATCCAAAGTGGAAGCGGAAGGCAAAGTAGGCAGACTGCCTTACTGATCCTCTCAGACGTTGGGAAGATCGGGACCCCGGTTTGCCTGTGTTGCTTCTGATCCGGCATCTCGGTCGAAGGTGGGCGGGTACTTATGTGTGGATCCCGCTTCCTGGGGTTTTCGTTCTCCGGATTGGTCGGTTGAGATGGCGACGAAGGCGAAGGCAGCTTTCACACGCCGGACACTGCAGTGTTTGGAATCCCTCACTCTCTCCCTCACTCTCTAACCGCGGCTGCGTCTGAAGCTGAGGGCTGATTGTTGTCCCGCACGTTCACCCACTCTCTTTCCCTCACTCACGCAGACTGGAAGATCACCAACTCCTCGGTCTCCTTCGTCAGAATCGGGCACTTTAGCCATCTTATCTTCATTGCATAAGTAATTATGGAGTTGCATCCTGATTCTGGTTTTGGCTGCATTTCAGTTGGATTTGAGCATTCGATAAAGACTGTGTTGGCGAATATGCATCACGCAGCACTGACTGGCAAGGCTGGACATTGCACCTGGGTCACTGACACGGAAGAAGGCGTCGCCAGCAAGGTTTTTCGATCTCGAATCTTGAAAGTTTGAATTGAAGAATTTGAAGAATGAAAAGTTTGAAGTTCTACAATTTGAAGGTTTCGAGATTGAATGCAGGCGCGAGTTTGGAGCTTGAATGCTTGAGCAGAAATCGTTGAAAGCTTGAAGCCGTGGTGACGTGGCCGTCCGACGGACGTGAGATGGAAGACGCCTTCCAGGCTCGAGTCTGAAAGTTCGAGCGACTGGAGTTTGAAAGCTTGAAAAGCACGAGATTGAGAGTTGAAAGTTTGAGAGTTTGAGACTTCGGCAGCATTCAGGTTCGAAAGTTTGGAGTTCGAAGGGCTCGAATCGAAGGTTGAACTATTGAATGCGTCACATATCAAAGTTTGAGAGTTTTAAAGACGCGGAGTATGAGAGTTCGAGCGCTTCAAATTTTGAAAGTTCGGAGCATGAAACATTTGATGAAGGTTTGAAAGATTGACAAGTTTCAGTAAAGTACGCTATTGTCGGTTTTGTATATGTACCATCCGGCGTTTAGGGCCCATGTCTTGAGTATGGTAGTTACGCTCTCGCAATTCGGACTCCGCCAGGCGAGGTCTCTGTGTCGAACTACGCCAACTCGACTACTCTCTGAAGCTGCCATCACCTTTACGCCATTCAAGAACAGTTAAAGTAGTAGCAAGATCTGATGAGAAGCTCAGTCTACCCACACGATAACAAATAAAGAAATGGTAGTCAGGCTTCGGAGTTCAGGTTGCAAGAATAGCCTGCGCCTACGCCCTCACCGACATGATGCCAGAGCACATGTATCTCAATTCCAAAGGCGAGGCAGTTTGACATGTTGGATCAGTTGCCAAGGCCTAATGACATGAGGCGGCGAGTTTAAGATACGGGATCAACCGATGGAATGATGAGGGTGCAGCTTTAAGACAATTGCCATCGCCAAGGTTGGTTCAAGATCACTCGCACTTCCCTTATCAGGGCCGGATTAGAGATACGAAATCAACCGCCATGGCGGGGACTACTGAGGTTCAAACTTAGGACAATTCAAACTCTAACATTCGAAACTTTCGAACCCTCAAACTCTCGACCTCAGTGGCCAGCCGCGGACCGAACCTGAAGCCAGGCTTTCGAACTGTCAAACGTTCGAAGCTTCAAAAATCGAAGTAGTTTTTAGCAATGAAAGAATCGAAATTTCGAAACTTCAATTTTTCAAACTCTCAAACTCTCAGAGCCGATGGAACTCCTTTGAAACTGAAGTTCGAAGCAGCTAGTCGACCTCGGAAAATCGAGGTTGAAAAGGTTCGAAGTTGGACGCCCTTTCGAATGCGCTTACCCAGGTACGCCGCACAGAAGCGCGCGGCAAGTCATGAACTCCAGGCTTGCGACTTCCGTTCCACGGGTCTCTGGGGATGCGATTTCTTCACATTCATGTGATCCAAATGTGGTTCTTGACGTGAGTTCGCTTGTGTTGCTGTGGAACTCTGCAACCGTCTTTTCCTGTTGTGCCCGTTGCTGAAGTCCTTGAATGATTTGGTAGCACGTGCGTCTGCCGCCGCGCAGGGTGTCTCCTTTATGTTTGGGAGGTTTCTTGGTCGACAGCACGAAAACCCTGTGTTTTGCGAGGTTTTCGTCAACAGCACGACGTTTCGGTGTTTTCGTTTTCCAATGTTTTTGTTCTTGTTTTTTGGTAGCGTTTTTGCGAAAGTGTCGCAAATACCATGCTTTTCGTGTTTTGTTCAATTTTAGGATCAGTTGCGAAGTTTTTGTCTGGAAATGCAAAAACTCAAGGTTTTTGCATGATAGACGTGTGGAAAGTCAAGCAACAAGTATC